TGGCACTGGCAGGACCCAAACCAAAACCCGATTGCAAAACCCGTTTGCACACTGCTGAAAATGGGATGAAGTTATACATTTAACCGGTTCTATATGTTTACAAAAAAGTGGTTGAGTTCATCAGTAACTCAAATACAACTTTCGGTAACTCAATAAATATTACCCTTGAACAGGGTCTACTATTTTGTGTGATTGTTAAATAGCTGGACTAGAAATATTGGGTACTAACTATAGTTTAAAAAACTTTTCCTAAACCTTATTTGTAATATGTTCTTATCCGAAAATAGTATTCAATAAGTATTGTTTGAGTTATAGTAATGCCATGTTCCGACCTTAAAAAACACTTTATGGTGTGTTTACGAATTGAACTTGAAATTTCTCGCTGTGCATCCTGTTCCGGTCTGCTCTGGGTCGGTCTGTTGGCCTGCTTGGTTGGCTGGTGTTGCACTTCCGTGGCTCGAACAACAGCGGGACCCGAAAAAAACATTTAACTGTTTCGCTGTTTGGCATTCATTGCGAATTTAAAGGGCGGCTTAGTGACAGGAATAATAAGGAAGCCCGCAGCGGAAGCGCTGATGTCAACGCAGCAGCAATGCCACAAAAAAAAAAAAAAAGAAAACCGAAAAAGAAGGCAACCACAAGGGACTCTATTGGATTCGGAAGGAGGGGGAAGGGTGGGGCTTCGGCGGCGGAGGGCGGGGGGTCGGGCAATAATGGGCCACGGCCCATGGAGTCCTTGCGGCCGTTGTGTGTCCTCTGGCCCCCGTTTTCGATTCGGTCTCGCATCTCGGCCTGTGCAAACAAACCAAACCAAATGAAACCAAACCAAACGAAACGTAACGAAATAAACCCAAAACCTCAGAACGTTAAAAAGGACAACGGGCAATGGGCAACTGGCAACTGGCAATGGGAAATGGGCAGCAGCAAGGAGCAAGTTTCAGTTGTTAACTATGCTAAATATTTGGTCTAGCTAACCGAAAGAAAAAGGCCAACCGAAGAATGAAAACAATACCAAATTAAACGCTTACAGCTGGAGCAGCTCATAATTTATTTCTAAGCTTGGAACCCCTTCGAATTTCGGACTTCGGACTTCCAGGTTTTGGTTTGGGTCTCTTTTTTTTTGGCAGCCAAGTGGCAGACATCAAAACACACCCCCGGCTTTTCGGATCGTTTTTTTTTTTTTTTTTTTGTTGTTTTGTGTGGAAGGCACTTCTTCCCGGTTTTGCGGCCCCCTGTGGCTCAACCTCCCCCTCCGCCGTCCAAAAGCGGTGCTGTTGCATAATTTTCGGCAATCCACAAGTGTGTGTGGCACGAGTTCCTGCCAGGATGTGTCCTCTGTCGTAGTATTGGTGACTCGCTGGCTGAGTTTTGGGAGAAGTGTGACAACCGGAGAGAGTCTGCGCAGTCTCCGTGGCGAGTCTCTCTTGGGGTTGTTGCATGTTTTTGGGTGTTTTTGTTGGGTGGCCAGGAGGTGGTGTTGCTGGCTACTTGTTGTGTCTTTGTGTGGGGCCAAAGTGTTTATGGCTGGCCAATAAATCAGTAAAATATTACTAGAACTGTAGGTTCCCTAGCTAAAACTCTAAGCCATAATCCCCACCAAATCCCGAACCCTTTAACGCATGGACCACCGAAAACACCCCTCGCCACCGAAAAACACCACCCTCTTTCGGTGGTGTGCGTTGGTGTTGACCCGAAATCACGCACACTCGCTGTAAATCACACACATACACACCGCCGAACACACACACACGGCACAGCCAACTGAGCGGCAGAGCCAGCGAAAAGCTGCGAATGCCAAGCGCACAGTAGAAGGGAGTGGTACGTCAAAAACTGACGCACAGCGGCAGGCCAAACAAGTCCATAGTTTAAAATAGCCAGCACAACTCCGCACCGCAATAATATGAACTGTAAAATACATAAAACAACAGTCCACGCAGTTACGTGACCAAGTGCAAAAAACAGCAAATCTATAACTATAAAAAAAGGGCGAAAAGAGCCAACTGTGTGTGTGTGTGAAAAAACAAGCCACAAATCAGAGCGAGTACGAGAGTTTCCTTCTACATTTCCCCCACGAAACGATCATATAACCGCCTTAAATCTGTGCCTGTTTGGGTTTCCGTGGTCAACGGGAAAATTAATAATTCGGAACCTAGTTTATGCATGATTTGATTTGGTGTTGCATGTGACAAAGTAGTGTATTCGATATATATGCCTTGCATGTGTGTGTATAAGTCGCTGCAGCTGCAAAGTATGCAATAAAAATCTCGCATTGTTTATGTGCAGCAGGAGCCAGAGAAACCGAGAGAGAAAGCGACCTGGAGAAAGAGAGAGAGTGAGAAAGAGTGAGAGGGTGAAAGGGGGTGGTACAGTGAGGTAGGCTAAGGCAACCAACAGTTGACTATTTGTTGCATGTACTCGTTGCAACAACTTCCACCAACTAGTTCTCCAAACCGGCGAGTGCGCCGAACTCTCAGTTTCTCTCCCTCGGAGGAAAAAGTCTCTCTGAGAGCTTCTCCGTCGAATTCAATTCACAAAACATTCGACAAGTGCAGAGTGAACAAGTTGTTGTTGCTGAAACAACGAGCGGAAAAAAAGGAAAATTTATAGGATTTTCCAAAACCGCAGAGCGCTGAGCCATTACCTAATAAATATTCAACATGTGATACAAACAAAAAGAAAGTTCAGACGACGCTTCGAGGGCTACGAATAGGTAATCCCCACCAAAGTCGCAGAATATCGGTTAGTGCATTTCCTAAACAATGGCAGCGAGTGTATGCGCCATTTTTAAACGTGGGATAGGGATAGATAGTTTCGGTGTGCGTGCGTGTGCGCCACCTTCCAATGGAAGCTTTTCCGCCCAGAGCCCGCCCCCTCCAACCTCCCCAACCCCCGGAATCACCGAATTTGCCGCTCCCTCTCTCGCTTCCACGCTGTGCGGAAAATGAACTGCCAGTCCGTGCATAAACCGTGCAATTTAGTGCAAAAAGTATAACAATTTATCAATTAAGTGTAATCAAGTGTTGCAAATTTGCCCCACCCACCCAGAGAAACCACCCCCCACCCACTCCAACTCCTCGCCGGGATGTCCTGCTCCTTTCTGTTGCGTTGACGCTGATTGCACGTCGGTTTCTGCATTTATAATGTAAATATTATGACTGCCAGCCAACTGCAGGAACTTGTTTACAATTTTCGCACTTTAATCGCCGTTTAAATTATGCAATTTCGTGGCTTCTTTTTTTCGCTTTTTTGAACGCAGGGCGTTTGGAAAGTGGCTGAGTGTGCAGTTAATGGTTGCCATAGAGTATTTACCTGCGATTTATGGGGTAACTCAGCGGCAGGGCGGTCTAATGGGCCATCAGAAATTGTTTAGGGAGGTTCAGTAAGGGTTCCTTGGCTTAGTAAATTCAGAAACCTGTTCAGGTTTAAAAAATATGAACTGGCTACTTTGATATTGATTTCTTTCGAATATAATAATTTATTCAACAAGTAAATGTTTAATAATATCTTTTCTGTGTCGAACTGTATTATAATATGTTTGTTATACTCTTAAGATTAATTATTTTTAAAAAGAATTTAAATTTGATATAAGATCATAAATGTTGTACATGATTTTAAACTTATGTGATTGTTAACTTACTTTTATATATGTATAGTGAAAAGTAAATCTAGAAAAAACTCCCACAAGCTGACTCTTTTTTTTTAATAAGCTGCATGTTACAAAAAACCACCTCTGACTTTGTCCCTTGAGAAGACAACGTCTATTATTTGCATGTAAATGTGACAGACCCTTTGTACACAGTCTTACCTGTAAGCAACTGCAATTTAATATACCTGTGCTTCCATTACTTGCAGAACAGAAACGGCAACGGCGACGGCAACGGCAACGGTAGTGGAAACGGCAGCAACATTGCAACCCAACAACGAACGCCAAATACCTTCAATTGCGGAGATAGCCGGGTCATAAGTTAAATAAGCTGCCAGGCGGATGTGGTAGGACCTGGAGGAGGGACCCGAAGGATCCGAAGGATGCCAGCCAGCCGGCGAGCCAAAGGGCACAAAATTGCAGCATCCGCAACTCCGGGGGCAAGGAATCAAAGCTGAAGGAGCAACCGCAGCAATACTCTCAAGGCAACTCATGTCAATGTCAAAGTTGAAGTAGACGAGAAGACGAGGGCCGGAAAAAGGGAAAGACGAACGGGGGCGGGGCAAGGAACGGCTATAAAGCTACAAAGGCAAAAGCATTTTAAACTGCAGATGACAAAGAAGGTTGTGCTACATCTACATAGTAAATACAAAACAAATCTAAGCGTAAGAAAACCCAGAACCACACCCACACCCCAGAAACCCCAACCGAAACCGAAACCAAAACCCAGACCAAAATAAACACAGAGCGAACGAGTGGAGGGAAATCCCTGGAATTTCGAACTGGCAAAGGCAGGAAAAGGCATACGGATTCGGATACGGTGACACGCTTCGCAGGCAAAATGTCCGTGGACTTCATACTGCCCAATCGCAACAAGATCCAGACGATTTCCTACGCGAGTGCCAGCAAGAAGTATGTGGCCGGAGGGTCGGGATCGTCGGCCGGAATGGGATCAGGATCGGGATCGGGCACGGGATCCGACTTGCAGAGCTGGCGACGCCCAAAGCCCAGAACCTCGGGAAAACTGAAGCTGGAGGATAAGACCCCGGCAACTGCCAGTTCGGTGCTAAGAAATGCCAATGGAAACGGTCTGGGAAATGGCGGAAAATCTCCCCTCAAATCGCTGACCAAGCGCAGCTCTCGATCGGTTCTCAAGCGGGAGATCATCGATCTGGACGAGGAGGAGGGCGAGGAGCAGGAGGACCAGCTGTGCGAACACCTCGAGTGGTCCGCCGCCCAGTCCTTGGTGCAAATGAACTCCTCCAAACACGAAAAACTGCGGCGAGCGGGAACTTCATCATTAACTGCGACTGTGGCAGCGCCAATTTCCGCCTCAGGTGAGTCTTGTTTTTAAGGTTTACGTTCTAAAACTCTGAATCGGGGAAAGAATTTCCAACAAGTTATAGTTTATATGAGGAACCTAATCTATACCATCCTTACAATCTAGAACTCTGAATTGGGGAAAGTTTTTAATTATATTTTTAATTCGGAATAGTTATTTTCGGGAACCTAATCAATACCATCTCCACAAACCCCAAATTTTAAGTCAATTAAATTATTTTTGATATGCGTGACAAGTCTCCTTGTAGGAACTTTAATTAAATTTCTTTGTTATATTTTAAGTTTTTAAGCTTTTTATGATTTAAGCAAACACACCTTTGCATTTTTTGTAATCTTCGAGCTCATAAATTTTGAAACCCACATTGTAAATTTTGTATGTGTGCATTTTTAATTTCGGCAAGCTGTTTTCCGTTCTGTGTAGCAATTATTCCATTTGCGAGACCCCTCGACCCACTCGAACCCGAACCCCCTGAAAGTTGCGTCACAACAATGTGAACAGGTGGCTGCGACAATTTGTGTGCTCGTGTATTTATTTTTAGTAGCCTGGTTCTGGCGATCCCACTCCATCAGCGAAAGCCAGCGGCACTTCCAACCATTTTATGGCCACCCACTTGGCCAGCGTCCTTCAACCGCGCTGGTGACCCCCCACTGGTGACTGCTGACTGCTGAGTGGTGACCCCACACAGCCCCCTTTCTCCGCTTCCCCCGCTCTTTCCTCCGCTCGGAACACTCTACTGTGAGCGCTCGTGTTTGACATTGTCGCCGTTAGCTAATCTTTTTAGCGTATGTTGGCATTTTCCATGTTTGCGCTTGCCTTCTTGTCGATGTCGTTGCTTGTTGCTCTTGAGTGAAGGAAAAGGCATGGGAAAGTGGAGGAAAAGCTGAGGCAGAGCGGCGCAAAGCTGAGGAAGAAGCGAATGCAAACAAGCGGCATTGACTGCCACTGGCAGTGGGTGGTTGGGTCGTTGGGTAGTTGGGTTGCAGGGTGGCTCGGGTGGCCCGGGAGGTCGTCATATCGATTGGGGAACTCGGAACGTAACAGGTCAGCCGCAGTGGAGAAGGGATATATTGCGTCAGCTCCGACTTCACTCCCATAAAATTCCAAAATGTGCATTTATGGTTACTGCTGCTGCCTTTATGATTCCTTTTCTTGGTCCTTCTGTGGAATATCAGTGGCGGATCCAGAGACGATTCTTGGGGGGGGAAATTGAACTTATTCTTCGATTTGGGGTTCAAACTTATTGTTGCGAGAGAAATACAGTACAAATTATAAAACAAAAATTATCCATCCCAATTTTTTAGTATACAAAGTGGTTATATTTGAAAAGTCAACCATAGCAAACAAGTAAAATTTTCAGGTTCTCTGGTTCCAAGGGGGGAAATTTCCCTAATTTCCCCCCCCGTGGATCCGCCACTGGGAATATGACTGGCATTTGGCACACGCACTCCGAGTACATATGTCAGGATATCAGGACGAGCTTAAAGGGGGCAAAAACAAGTCTCAGTTTTAATAAAGACAGTTCAGAGAAGACATGGGTTTAAGGTTACACACACTGAGGTCCACAGGTGGAAGCTTAAAAAAGAGGCAACGAAGGTAGAAATAAGGAACAGGCAGTAATTAAATCCAAGTGTGTTTGCTTTATAAACTGCAATTAAAGCATTGTTTTAATCATTTAAGCTTCGTTTTTAGTTTATTCGTTTCCTATAGTTTCTACTAACAAACCCTATTTTAAGTTGTTTAATGCGAATAATTTTAAGAAGCAAATTATAATTGTATAGTAGTTGTATTGTTTTTACTTATCAAGCTTATTTACTTGTTTAATTATACTTCGCTTTGCCGTTAACCGTTTTCGTTTACCGTTATTATTTGTTCTGAGTAAAAATGGGTTAAAGTGGTTCTCAATCAAACAATAAATCCAGCAAGTCAGAATGACAATTGATTCGCTTTTATGTTGTTTTATTTATTTATGCCCAGTGCAAAAGGTTATTTTGGTGATTTTGGGGCTCTTTTACCTTTTTCCTACCCTGTCCGGCCAAATGTATTGAATTTAGCTTACATTCATCGAACCCTCTTGATCCAATTTGCATCTGAGCTGGTTCCAGTGCTCCGAAGTGTCAAAAGTTCACAAGTGATTAGCCAACCCTGGTCGAAAGCGTGACAATCAACAAGTCTTTTTTGACGTCTATTGAGTTTGATTAAGCTTATAGGCGCTTTATTCCCTATTTTCGTCAGCTGTTGAAGCGGGAATGGAGTTTCAGGACGAACCCTTGGATTGTTAGTCCCTTTAAGTTAGTTAGTTGGTTCCTCGGGCACTTTAACTGAGTATTGGTCTCCCCACAAACAGTATCGCTGCGCCGTCCAGTGGGCAGAGCTCCGGCGGAGGATGGCAAGGTGATCTTCTACGCCCCGCCTGCCAGCGCCAGCGGATCGCCGCGCCAGCCGGAGCCAATGGCCCTGAAGAGGGAGCGGGACAGGGAGCGCCAAAGCGCGTGCGAGAGCGAGCGGGAAAGAGAGAGGGAGAAGGAGAGCGAGCGGCAGCGCGCGAGGGAGCAACAGGTGGCGGCGGCCTCGATTTACCGCGGCAGGAGCGTCGAGGAGACGGAGGCGGCCCACGACCTGCTCTCGCTGTCGCAGAGCCTGCCGCCGCTGATCCCGCCCTGCGTGGTGACCATCATGAAGCAGGAGCAGGAGCAGCTCCGCTCGCCGGAGATCCAGGAGATATCGAACAGCGCTTCCAGCCGATCGCCGCAGTCGACCATCCGGTTCATCGGGAGCAGCTCCTACGACCTGATGGGCGGCTCCTCCGAGGGGGCCAGCGCCTGCTCGCCGCTGACGCCGCCGAACTCGGACCACAGCTCCGACGTGGACGTCGACATGTCTTCCTCCTCCGAGTCGGGCCTGCAGCAGTGGGGCAAGGCCCACGTGGGGCAGGGCCAGCCGCGCTCCTCGGCGCTCAAGATGTGCCTCAACATGCTGGACGGGCGGACCAAGGCGAGCAAGGCGGCGGCCGTGCAAGGCAAGCCGGAAAGGGCCGAGCCGGTGCAGCCGCGGCCCAAGAGCGCCCAGAGCAACGCCTCCTCGTCGGGCGGACACAGCAACAGCAACAGCGCCTCGGAGCCGCCGGAGAGCAGCGGTCCGAGCACGGGACACGGCTCCTCCGGACACGGCAACGGGGAGAACTACGCCAAGCGGAAGCGGGGCTGCTACAAGTGCTGCGAGTGCGGCAAGCAGTACGCCACCTCCTCGAACCTCTCGCGCCACAAGCAGACCCATCGCTCGCTGGACTCGCAGTCGGCCAAGAAGTGCAACACCTGCGGCAAGGCGTACGTCTCCATGCCCGCGCTGGCGATGCACCTGCTCACGCACAAGCTATCGCACAGCTGCGACATCTGCGGCAAGCTCTTCTCGCGGCCCTGGCTGCTGCAGGGCCACCTGCGCTCCCACACCGGCGAGAAGCCCTACGCCTGCGTCCACTGCGGCAAGGCGTTCGCGGACCGCTCCAACCTGCGCGCCCACATGCAGACCCACTCGGGCGACAAGAACTTCAAGTGCCACCGCTGCAACAAGACGTTCGCCCTGAAGTCGTACCTCAACAAGCACCTGGAGTCCGCCTGCCTGCGCGACACCGGCGCCATCGACCAGGGCGGCAAGGGGGGGCTGCTGGGGGAGGAGGAGGACGAGGACGAGGAGTGCAGCAAGCAGGACGAGCTGGAGGCCGACGAGCTGGACAGCGACGAGAACAGCCAGGACATTGTGGTGGCCTAGGTGGAACGGCGAAGGAGGAGGAGCAACTGGCAAGCGGACCGAACGACGACCGACAACTCTCCTGCCCGAAACTAAGATACTTTATACCAGAACCCTATAAGCAATACTCGAGCACCCTTATCAAATTATTACTAAAAACCAAACAAAACAAAATGAGGATTATATACATAGTAAGCAAACAAAATCTAGTCTAGAAATCGGCTTACTAGCGAAGTAGTTCATTAAAAAAAAGGTTAAAAGAAACGCCATATGGATCTCAACTCAATAGAATCTTCTTCAAGCAGTTATATACACACACTTATATCTACTCACTTATAATCTCTGAACTATCCCGGAAAATCTCTCCAAGTTGCAACTTTTACTGAACGAAGATTGGGAAGCAAAGAACAAAGCAAAAACAAAGGTTTGAGAAGGAAATCCAAAACGTAACTTATAGTAAAAATCTGACACAACGAATATTATGGAACATAAGTAGAAATTCTATATATACACAGATCAAATAAGCATTATATACAGAAGGAGGTGGTAGGAGCGGAAGGCGAAGGGAAGGGCAAATTATATGTATACATATGACCTAATGAATAATACCTAGCGAGCAGAACCAATTTGCATGTTTTTTTGGTAAATATCTACTTTTAGGCATCGTTTTAGGGCTCTAGAGTTTATATACACCCCGTACACCCCCGGTACACACCCAGTACACACCGTCGTACACACACTACCCACTCACTCACTCACTCACCACCTAGTTGTAGTTCGGAACTTAAGGATTCGATCGGAGCTCAGTTCAAGTCTTAGCAAACTAATCAATTAGTGAACTTATAGCACTTCCCGCAACTCCCTATATCTCTCTCGCTCTTAGACTCTTTTTAACCGTACTCAATGATCAAGTTTAGCAATCGGAAATCGGATATATAGTACATATATAGAGAAGAAGAAGATGAACGACGACGAACCATTTTAACCGCTGCGGCAACTTTACACTCTAACCAAGTTTAGGATGAGATTACTTCCATATTATGCTCTAACTCGATAAACAGAAAACTACTTCAATTACTTAGAAATGATTAAAATTAATGAGAAAACAATTTAGAAACATATCACAAGGACAATACTTAACATAAATAAATGCATACATTCAAAGTATGAAAGGTGCGTGCGTAAGGAAAGGCGGAAGGATGCGACCCCAATTAAGAAGACATTCTCATTCACATGCAACAAAGTACTTACGAAATAGTTATTTTATTACTAGCATTAGAACCCCGACTAGTGTACATATACGATATATTTGCAAGTTTAAAAACAATTTTATACAAGAAACTACCCCCGTACCCGCGACCCCTCGAGCTTTGGCCCAGCCAAAGGTTTCTAATGGACAGGAACACATCCTCCCCAATCGCAAAAGGACACTTCCTCAAATTCTGGGAGTTCGTCGAAGAGGAAGTAGAAGATGATGATGATGATGAAGGAGCAGAAAGGTTGATGAAACGATGATGATAGACGTAGAAGACGCACTTGTAAAACAAATGATAACTAAAAGCAATTCCAAAGTTAAGTGACATAGTTTTTAACGAAAAACCAAAATACAAAAATTTGTAATTCTATAAAACAAAAAATCGAGAAGTATTGATATATACACAAACATGTATTTATTTTACGCGTAGTTTTTATTCTGAAACCAAAAGCAAATGGACAACAAAACACAAAAAAAAAGAAAACAAAACAAAAAGAGTAAACTTGAAAACAATTTAATTAAATTGTCAATTACAATTATTTCATAATTTAAGAATTGATGAACGAGGCGGACGCGATAGAGGTTATTTTTTAAAGCATATATATACACATAAAATTATATTACAAATAAACAAATATATTTAAAAGAGGCAGTTTTATATCGAAATTAATAATAGTAAATGCAAAGTAACAACAAAATATTGAAAACCATTCGAACTTAATTATACAACGAGCAAGAAACCATTAAATATAAACCCCGCCCCCACACTCTCACACACACACGCCCACAATTTTATAGCAACAGCAGATTATTACATCGTATCTACATACGTGCGCGCCATGTAGATAACCAAGTAACGCCGCATGTCGCAAGTCTAGCAGCATCTGAATATCGGGGCAGAATTAGAATTTAGACCAGAGAGTGCTATGTGCGTTGTTTATAGGGCCATAGTTCGAAATCGTGTTTATGCATGGCTTTATTGATGATTATTGATAGCGTTTTAAATAGCATTAAATGCCTATATACACATAAGCAAACCAAACAAGAACAAAAACAAAAACAAAAAACCAAACCGAGAAAAGCTAAAAAAAACGTATATAAGAAATTCCATTGAACAGTAGTGGTAACAATTATGTGATTTGCAATTTTACATTCAAAATATATATGAAGTAATTACGAATATAAATAGATTATATATTGAGGCGAGCGTTTAATTGGTTTATTTATGAGTAAGATTTATTTATACACATTATACACCACAAAAAAACAAACAAAATGACAAAAAATAAAAATAAGGAGGAGAATGGATTGAGAAGAGGCAAAAATATTTTTACACAGAACCTTGTTTAATACACGCGGCAATTAAGACCCCAAAATCAAAGTACCCCTTGTCACACCTGCTAAAAATTAATTAGAAACCCCCCAAACACTTTTAAATCAGACGTACACAAAGCTGCGTTTCCGATTTCACTTACTTTTTAAACGCTTTTATAATTTCGAAATTAAATTGAAAGTATTTTCATGCAGCAACTTCAAAATATTCACCTTCTTAAAATCAAAAGTGAAGTGGAACGTTAGCTGACAAGCGCCAACACCACACCCTCTTAATTAGAGTGATTAAGTTCAAGATCAAGGACACCAATTCAATTTTGATTATTATACAATAAATGAAGGACAGAAATCGAACAAGCGAGTGACGGACGGTGAGATATTTTATAAAATGATCGATGAATAACGTAAAGATATTAATTTATATATTCATATATTAGAGATGCAAAAAGACTTGAACAGTTATATACATTTAAAATTGCAATATATTGTATACTTCATTAAAAAATATATACATACATACCGGCATATATGCAACCACGTATATAAGTATACATATTTAACTTATTTATATAAATGCTTACAGCGAACCATAAACATATACATCATAAACCGAATCTCAATTTTTCCAATGCAAGACGAATAGGAATCCCTCAAGTAACTCAGATCAATTCCAGTATATACTCAATGACCACCGGCCGGCATCGTCTGGCCGTACAGGAATATATAGCTAAAGATATATAAGTAATACGTATGCAATACAATGCCACGCCCACTCCCCGATGGCAGGCAGCGATTTTAAGGCGCTGCCCGTAGGAGTTTTCCAAGGTTTTTCCTTTTGATACTTAGCATTCGTTCTTGTTCTACTTTTAGTTAGAGAATGTTCAACTAGTTTCAGCTTTGGTAGGAGTTAAATAATCGACTTTAAAGACACACAAAACCAACACCTAGATGAACCGCAGCTATACTAATAACCCGTTACCCGTAACCCGTAACCCCACACACTCTATTAGACACTAACCGACATTCTACAGACTTACCCACATGCATAACCATGCGATTTTACCTCAAAATATGTAGAGCATATAACCTATTATATCCCAAAGAAAGCTAATCCATTCTTAAATTAATATACACACGAGTAGCCGGAGAAAGCGAATCCAACCGAATCGAACGAATCGAATTGAAAGCAGAAGAATCACAGAAGAATCAAACAAAGAATTAATGCAAATACAACACGAGTAAACTCCCCCTCAAAGAAACAAACAAGGCAAAACAAAACCAAACCATGACAAGATCCAAAAACTAATGACACGATGAAGGATTATAAATTAGAATCATAGTTATAAAAGCTACACCCACACACTAGTGCAGCCATGTAACTATTTTTAGAGCCTCGGAAATAAACATACATAAAATACATAAAAATATTAAATAAACGACAGAGAAAACCAAATGTTTCTAAGAGTTGTATTTATTTAGAAATGTGTTTTGGTAAATATTTATTTTAAATTTCTTTTAGAGGATATACATGTAAGTATATTTTATGGCTCTAAATGAGCTTTTTGCTCACTTTATTCAACTTCGAACACCACAACCCCTTGCAATCATTCGACTTCGCTGAAAGTTAATTCAATGGACCATAGAAAACACGCAATTAAAGTGTACTTAAGCCCCGTATCCACAAACATTTTACATTGAGAACTAAGTTAGTGAAGGATGGGGATTTGCTTAGTTCGCTTTGTTTAAAGGGAAATTACTGCGCAACTAATAAACTATGCATCGCTGATTTATTTCAATTGGGAGAGCTGCCCGGGGAACTAAGTCAACAAGCAGTTGGGTGAACATTCAGTACATACAGTGGAGTACAGCACATACAATATAGTAAAATACTTGAGCATTATATCGGAATCTGGAGAGGCCCGGGCACACACTGTACCGTCGAGGGCCTCGTCGAGTGGAGTGTGCTTAAATGAAATTTCTTGATTCGGCATAAACATATTTACTCTGTTGAATATTTGCCCAACAATTTGATTCGCAATCGGGCGAAGGGCGGGCGAGTCCCAAATCAAAATGGAATTGTATCAAGGACGCGGAACAATCGAGGCGGGCAAACACACAAGTTCAGGCCTCGTCCCCATCCAGCCATCCAGTTCTCCTGTCAATCCTCGAAGCCCAAAGCCCTCCATCCACTTGCATTCAATGGCGTAATCGCAGGCAGATACAAGTGCTTGTATTCCGATTTCCGCCGGTGCAGCAGAGCAAGCCCAGCCATCCATCCACCCGCGGCATTCCGTCCACAGATGTCAGCAATTTCTCGATTTGAATACTCAACAAAAACGAAAGTGGGCAAACAATTCGAAGGAGAGTGCGGAGCAAAAAATAACAGGCAGCAGGGCGCAAAAAAGACGAACCTCTTCGCGCAAATGGCTTCTCTAACGACCCAATTAATTTGAAACAAGCTGAAAAAAAAGCGGAATAACGTTTGAATTTGAGGAACAGGGAGCGTGTGGCGGAGTGGTAAGAGTTGAACGCCACAGGCCACTAAATGCTAGGTTAGAACCCATCCCCTTTCCATCAACTTTTTGAGCCCCTTCCACGGCGCCGGCAATTGCCGCAGAACCCAAAGCTTTTTGTGCCCCCGCCACAGCTCGAAAAGTTCGCCGACAGCTTCATTACCAGCCATCATCGGAGCCATCATCATTCCGCTGCTGTTGCGTGCACTGCAAGAAAATAGTATAGAATGGATGAATGGTATAAATACACAAAAAGAATGAGGTATAACTTCCTCTCTGAGCTACGAACTAAAAATTAAACACTTAAGAGTTTATGGAAGTCATGAAAATAAGTGATTAATATATTCGAGAGGATTTAGTTGCTAAAAGCAATATATATTTTAAGTTACACATTACAACTTGTGATAAAATAGATGTAAATACTGCTCATTTCTCTCTGTGTGGTGATGCTGCTACCCATGAGTAATTGGCCCGCAAAAGTTTGCTGGAGTCGAGTCAGATTTAAGCTTGGCTGCTGGCCGATCTAGCCTGAGTCTCGAGTCTGGAGTCGCGTCGATCGCAGTCCGAAACCAAATCGCGGGATATTCACAATCAAGTAGCCATGGCCAAGACATCTAGCCGCCTGGGAAGCAGCCTCTTGCTAGCTCTCCTCGCTTTTCTAGCTCTCGGAATTCTCGCCGAAGGTAAGTACTGCGGCAAGAACGAAATGATTTATTTTTAAAAGCATTAAATACTTCATGTTAATGCACATCTGCTTGAAATGTTCGCGGCTATTGTTTTGGGACGAGAGAACAGAAACAGGTTTTCGAGCGCCAGAGCCGCAAATCAGTGGCGTAGTTTGAGGGGATCTTGGGGCCCTGGCGCTCGGCTCGTTAGTCATAATTACGCTTTGTCGTGATTCAAGGCTTCCGGGTGTATGTCATAGCCAAGGCGGCGGAGATTAGCCAGTTGATAAGGCGAACAGCAACCAGAACAGCAAAAGCAACAGCAATGGCGCTACATAATTTAATGGCCTGTAATTAAATTTCCCCCAGCGGCACCCTACCAGGAGTTGGAGCCCCGCAAAGGTCATGTTCCCGTCTATATACGACACGGCGATGAGCCGCTGAGCGAAATCCATCCCGGACTGGCCGAGGCCTTCAAGGAGGGCGAATCCAAGGTAAGTCCGCGAAGTCTGAAAACTCTTTAAGCACTTACCGCCACTTTCAAAGCACTCAAATGAACAATTTCCATGATTTTTTGCTCCTCCTTTCCCCTTTTCCCACTTTCCCACCCGCAGAGTCTGGTCACCGAAGCTCCCCAGGCAGAATCTTCTAGCCCGCCGACCACAACCGACTCCCCGCCCCCGTCCGCCAGCTCAACTGTTTCGGATATTGCCAGCTTTGAGGCCATCAAAGCGAAGACGGAATAAAACAATTTAATAATCACAAAATTGAAGCTAAACCCTCTTTAGTTTACCAGTTAAGTCCATCAACCGAAAGCCCCCTTGAGGTCTAGTGATAAAATCAGCAGGCAAAAGCAAATATTTAAATTCAAAATGAATAGAAACGAGCAAGGAACAATTTTAAATTCAGTTTTCGAAGTGCAAAGAATACCAATAAAAGTATTAAAATAATTTTGGCGGCGTTAAAGAGTTGAAAAACTATTCTCTGATAGCAACCCTTAGTTTGTGCTCAACAAATCTGCATATTATCTCCCCCTCAAATGAAACGTATTACTTTAGTTGGAAGTCAAAAAGGTCCTGACCCATGTAAAATAAACTTAAAAGTAAATTGTAACTTAATTATTTGTATAATTTACAAAATTACCAGCCACGTTAAGGCGCTTTAAACGATCCCATTCCAGGGCTCGTCTACTCGACTGTCCTGTCTGGCGCGTTTAAATGAATTTCTGCGGACCCGAGCTCGTTAAGAGCTGCGCAAGTTTCACACATTCAATGGAAATTATTCGGTCCTTTTGGGTTCGTCTCCTCGAAGCTCGATGCTGGATGCTGGATGCTCGATGCTCGTCGCCTGAAATCGCCTTAGAGCTTTGTGTGTGATTTACTTGTTGTGCCCATTAGGGAGTGGCGGACACGCCGGGAAGCTCATGGCGAAGGAGGGGAGAGGACCTGGCCAGGAAGCTGTGGCGCAAACGTTTGTAATTAATATAATGGCAACGGCTGTGCCGAGTAAAACTCCAAAATGGCCTACACACGTTGCGGTCCGCCGTTTGGTGTGGAGAAAGGGGGATTCTGGGGAGTCCGGTGGGTTTTTTGGGGAGTCCTCGGTGATTGGGGGCGATCACAAATTGTTGTTTCATTGTCTCTCGGCCCGGCTGTCTAACGAGCAATAAAACTAAATACATACACATAAAGTTAATTATAAAAGGGCAAAGGAAATTGGAAGGTCCCAGACTATTGAGCTGTAGGATGCAAGTGATGGATTAACCAAGATGGAGTGTCCTTCCTGGAGAGTGGGGGACTTATCTGCAGACGGAATCGGGCTGCAATCAAGAGGGCATTAAAAGGAAGGCAAAAATGCTCGTTGTAGAAAAAAAACAGTGCGGAGTGGAAGTGGGGGGAGGGAAGAAAGTAGAGAGAAAAGCCCGAAAAGAAATGCCACAAAAAAGCGACGAAAACTATGCGAAGTAAAAGCGAATTTTATGGAGCATCCTCGTTTAAGAAACAGCTCCTGAATTTAAATTTCCTTGCGTTCGCATACAGATACACATACTATTCGAATACTCTCATATATATTCGCACACACAGAGGCTGCCAGGTCCGTGTTCTTGTATCATTGTGTGCGTTCGAGCGCATTCAACCTCAAAATGAATAATTGCATATGCTTCAATGATTTGCGACTTTATTCGAGCACAAGCTCCTCGCAAGCTGCTTGCTGCCAATACTTTAAAGCCACCTCTGCTACCTCCACGTTAAAGGCCAAAAGTTCAATTGCAGGACAAACATAGGAGATGAGAATGAGAACGAGTGCCCCGCCATCCGGGCTAATTTGAGAATTGCTCGGCTTAATTGCGTGGCACTTAAACAATAATCAAGTTAACGGTTATGCCAACGATTATCGCCATTTTTACACCGATGCCAATACTAAGGATTATTGGTTGCCCATTAGCAGGGCAGCAATTCCAATCCGGGTCCCCGCACCGCCCCCCAATTTGATTTCCGCCTCAGTCCAAACCAATGACACTTCTGCACTGCGCGGAAGATTCTCACCTGAGAACTCAAAAATACACTTTACAATTACAAAAACCTAAAAGAAATACTCTGTTTATTTATAATGTATTTCACCAATCAAAGTTAACACTTTCTAAAATGTCGGAGCAAATAGCGAAAAAGTTAAATAAAATGAATGTCCTGTTGGAGGAGCTGCAAAAGCTGGAAAGGGATCTTGGACAGGTACATCTGGACTTAACCACCGCCAATCTGGAGGAGCAATTGGCCCTGGTGAAACTGGAATCAGCCAAAATGATGTTTTTCAATGAAAAGCGTTCTAATATTCTGCTGAGTTTGCAAGAGGAGATAACCAACTTCAAAAGCATTAAGCAGCAAGTTTCCGAGCCAGAAGTGGTTAGGATTGCCCAGCTTTGCAAGCAGGTGAAGGATATCAACAAGGAGCTGGACGGGATGTACGAGATCAATAAATGCTCGATTTGCCAGATGATTTGTGAGGCGGAGGGAAGTCATTGTCTGGTTTCCCTGCGTTGCGGTCACCTTTTTGGACGCAGTTGCATCAGCAGTGCTCTTTGGCAGGCTTTTAAATGCCCCATTTGCTTACGGGGAGCTCTCCACTTTCATCTGCGGACGATTTACGGGCTAAAGTTATTTCCGTTCTGAAAATGTTTTACAAGTTGTGAAGTTGTATATATTTTTTAATTCAGTTTTATTTCCGTGAAAATATTTAATTAAGAAAACTGTTTATAGATGGTACTTTTTTTCCAGTGCCGGCATTTTTATTGGGTTTAATGTGCGCACTTTTTGCCCTACTTGCCCCCCAGAAGACCGCCCAAGATGCCACCGCCGCCGCTTGTGCTGCCGCCTCCGGTGATGCCGGGTATGGAAATGAGATTGCCCAGCAATGGGTTGCCGTTTAAATTGAGCAGGCAGCTGTCAAAGCAATTGCACGGAAAGAGCGAATACGTAAGCGAAAATATCCTGCGGACCGAACCGGAAGCTGGCACTTACCGCAGATCCAGACGGATGACGTACTGACAGGCCCACTCCCGGAGGCACTGCAATGTGGCGGAGAGATCGGAACTGGGCTTTAAGGCTGTCCGAGGGATTTACCTAATCTGCACTCACCCGTATAGTTTCGGGGGAAGGTTTCGGGCAGGAGCCTTGGGTGCCGCCCCCTCCGCCGCCGCCTCCTCCGCTTCCGGATCCTCCTCCCCCGCCGCCACCGCCGCCACTTCCGCTGCCACCGCCACCACCTCCTCCTCCTCCACCGCCTCCATCCTTGGGGTAAACAGGAACTGGCACAGGAACAGGAACAGGTACCGGAACAGCCACCACCTTTTTGACGGGAGTGGTGGGCTCACCTTCCCAGGGGTTCTAAAAGATTTGGTTCTACGGAATATCTTGAACAAATAATAGAGAATCGTATCTTACGGTATGACCCACAGCCAGGGAGATTAATCCCAGCACGGCTAGGGATAAAGCAAATTTCCTCATTTCAGCTTCGGTCAGATGGAGTCCACTGATATCGACTCACTGACTGACAACCCCCTTTATTTATAGGGCTAGTCCAACAGGTGTTTCTATATGTGGGTCATGCAACAGCCGCTGTGAGATAATCCCATTTTCATTTTTCTCCCAAAATAAGGTTGAACAAAACAATAATAATGCGTGACATTTTATTCTCGTATCTTAAACCTAATTGAAATTAAATAACAATGGGTTGTGATTTTATGTTTATAATTTTTTTTGTTTAAATATAACTTGGAGATTTATAATACTTACATTTTCTACATAAGGAACAGTTTTTAAAATAAGGTTAATAGACTATTGTGTTCGGAATATAATAATACCAATTTAATAAAGTGTCCTAAAAGTATACTTCGTTCGTCGATCACCTTAACTTTGAACATGATGTTCTGTAAGAAATATATAAAATTGATTTTCTTTGATAATTAATATGAAAACAATAATGAACATATTTCTGTAAGAGTTATATTAAAACAGTCCTCCTAAAGTTAAGTTTATATTTTAAACATTTAAATTTAAGCTCTGAAACATTTGGCAACACCGAACCGGTTAACGAGACCTGGTCACCCTAAGCGCAAGGTCTGGCAGCTCTTTTTTTCCGTTTCACTTCCCGCCAAATTTGAAGGGAGTGCTCCATACAAAATTTTGTCGTAAATTTACCAACTTTTATTTTATTCATGTTTCTTTACCCTATTAAGTAACGTACCAAAAATGAGCAAAGCTAAGCAGAATAAATAAAACAACAAGTTATTTCCATTGAGTTTCTATATATATTTCAATTAATTTGATAATCATAAATATTTATTTATTCGCCATGCAAACCATGTACAATTACATAAATAGGTAGGTTCATTTCAATTTCAATTTGTGACTTTTAGTGGTTTTGTGTACTGTTTTTGTTTCCGGTTTTGGCAACTAGTCGTATATGTATATATATATATATAAGTTACGAGAACTAATTGTACAATAATTCATCTAATAATACCGCTGTGTATAAGAGTAATATGAACGATCGCTTGCTATTTGATTAGTATACGTAAGACAATATCATTACCGTTGGCAATACAAATATCAATGGTGTAATTGAGTTGCGCGAGAACGAGCGCTTCAAAGGAGGAATAACGCACATCCATAATCGAATCGAATCGAATCGAGATTCCATCTCGTAATTCCTAGTTCCATTGTACAGGTAGGTGATTCTAACCATGCTAATCATGTTCGAAACTGTCAACTGACTTAACTTGACTTTTTGAGCAGTGTTTTTGTGGACAGGAGGGTGATATTTTGAGGTGAAATTAGCATGAGGACAAAAAGTAATTTCTGACAAACTACTTTACCTGAAAAATGTTAGGGTTCACATTCTTTTTAGGGTTCCCCAAATAACTTTCCGTCCTTATGCGGATTTCAAAACCCCAAAAAGTCCACCCTCCCATCAGTGATCAGTGTTTGTTTTGCAATAATCCTTGGTAGAGTTAGTTAATCGGGGTGGTCGAGTAGAATCAATGAGCCAGTGGAGCGACTAGCGCCCGAACCCAAGTCCGAGTCCGCAGCTGCACTGAGCCGGCGATTCTCAGGTGCACTGCATCTTCTTGCAGTTGCACAGCCACTTGATGATCCTGGCGTTCCGCTCGACGATCGAGGGCGGCTCCGAGGGTCTGTAGGCCTGGGTGGTCTGCGGCTGGGTCTCCGTGCTGTCCGGCAGTCGCATCGAGTCCACGGTGCTCACGTCCGAGAAGAAGACGGTGCTCGAATCATCGGAGGCGTCGTCCGTTTCCGAGTGGTGCCTCCGCGGCTGGCTGTAGATCTCGTGGAAGGCCTCGTCGTTCAGTCCCAGGCGGTCGAAGAACTTCTCCAGCTCCGAGATGCTGGCGTTCAGCGCCTCCCGCTCCATGTCCAGGCTGTTGTGGTAGACCTCCGAGGAGAAACCTTTGGGGAAGAACACGTTCTCGTGGTCCACGCTGCCGCGGTGCTGCTTGTAGGCGGCCAAGACCCCTCCAGCCGGGCCCATTCCCCCCGATCCTCCGGGAACGAGGCCGCCTCCCGATCCTGGTGGCACTCCCATTTCTAAAAAGGCGAAGAATGTATCTATTAACATCAAATTTTATATAATTTAGTTGGAGATGTAAATCTTGTTCTACCTTTGTGTAACTATTATATTTTATTTTTATTTTAGATTCCCGAACTCTTACCTCCTTGAACTGGCAACCGATTGCGGTTCTTGAAGCGGATGCACCGCTGCCTCTTGAACTGAATGGGCGGCGGACTGATGTCGTCCACGGAGGGCGCCGAGCCGGGACTCTGGACTAAAGAGCTCTGCGAGTGATTGATGCTCGTGTAGCCCTGGGAGCTGGTGTGCAGCTGCTGGCTGGAGGAGCTCGAGTAGCGGGGCGTCTGGGTCTTGAGCCGCGGTGACGGCGGAGTCGGGGTGTAGTCGTCCTGGAAGGCCTCCGGCACCTCCGGCGTGGGCGTGAAGTTGAGCAGGTAGTCAGAGCCCATGCCCGCGGTGTCCTGCTTGCAGCGGCAGTCCAGGCACTCCGTGTTCCGGCCGCTCATCCCGGAGTAGTCCCCGGCCGGGGTGACGTAGCCGCAGTAGGAGTTGGCGCTGTGCTGCGTGGAGGAGCCGCTGTCCCGCCGGGTGGCCGCCACCAGGGTGCAGCAGTTCTTGATCGTCCCGCTCGCAGGAGCCGCGCTGCCCGCCACGTCCCGCTGCCGCTCCCTCTTGTAGCAGGGCTCGCTGCGATGGGTGTAGTGGCCCGAGCTCCCGCCGGAGTCCCGGTTGATCGAGGACTCTCCGGCGGATTTGATCGAGCGGTTGCCCCGGCTGCAGCAGCTCAGGATCTCGCTGTGCGGCGAGTGGCGGCTGATCTGGGTGTGCAAGTCCGGCAGCGACTTGTGGCTGTTGATGTTGAAGTCCCCGGAGGGATAGGGAGCACTGCGGTCCTCGCCCGAGTTGGGCACCTCGTGCGAGTGCGAGTACGAACGCTGGTAGTTGTACCTTGAAAGAATAAGTCAATTTTATGATCAGTCTTTTCCTGCATCAAATCAAATTTTTGGTTAAATAATTAAAATAGAAACTTTTAGATTTATGTCAATTCAAAATCTGATTAAAATTGGAAAAGATATGGACTTAAAACTGGTGTATATTGGTCAACGTTGTTGAAATTTCGAAATTAACTATTGATGCAGTTTATTAAAAAATTTAAGTATAAACTTTTAGAGGTATGCCGCTACAAAATCTGATTAAAATTAAAAATGTAATTGATTTAGAATTAGTGAATTTTTGGCCTTTTTCAGCCATCAACTAATAATAACTACATAGTTTATTCTTGTTTAATAACAAGAAGAATTATTATTATAATAATAAATAATCCATTTATTGGACCTTACATACTCTCCCGATAAGATAACTCCTCTTGGCTCACCTGTAGCGATCGTTGTGCGGTTGGCCCGACTTGGCCGCGTACTCGGCGGGCGGGCTGATGGGGCGGTAGTTCTCGGTGAGCACCAGCGGCTCCTCGCCGTCCCGCCCGAAGCCGTGGGCGGGCATGTAGAGGGGCGGGGGGATGCGCAGGGCGCCGCCGACCTGGCCGCCGACCTCCTCCTCGCCGTAGTCCGTGGGCAGGAGCTCCGCGCTGCCGTCGCTCATCTCGTGGCGCCTCAAGGTGCCGCCGTTGCGCTCCTTTCCCGCCTCCGATCCGAGCAGCATGCGCAGCTTGTGCTGCAGGAGGTTGTTATTAACAGCGGCTCCCGCTCCCCTACCCCTCCTCCTCCGCCTCCTCCTCCCGCTCGACCTTGACCTTGGCCCTGGGCGTGGCGGGAGTGGGGGTGGTGTGGGTGAGGGTGGGGATGGTGGTTGTGGAGGTACTGCTGCTGCTGCTGTTGCTGCTGCTGCTGCTGCTGCACCTGCTGTTGCACCTGCTGCTGGCGACTCAGATTGAGGCTCATGTACCGCCTGTCCTCCATGTCGTAGTGGTGGCCGTGGGCCTCCTCCGGCCTGCGTCCCCGCTTCCCGCCGCTCACCCCGTTGTTGCCCGCTCCGTTGCGGTAGCTCGCCTGCTGCAGCCGCTCGAAGACCGCGTCCGACTTGATGTAGAAGGGCTTGGACTCCGCTAGCAGCTCCACGGCGGACTTGCGCTTGCTGTAGTGCCGCCCGCCCGTGTGGTAGAACGCGTTGTGGTGGCCCCAGTAGTTGCGGCTGGCCGCCGCCGTCTCCGGCAGCGCGGAAGCGGAGAGTGGTCGCTGGTTGGAGGCAGCGGCTGCGGCGGACATCCCGTAGTTGTAGCCGGAGTCCGGCATCCCTCCGGCGAAGAACTGCTGCGTGGTGGCGTACAGCGTCTGGCTGACCGTCCGCGAGTACTTGGGCATCGTCGGGTAGGCGAAGGAGGGCGTGGAGCCGTGGTGGCCACCCGGGGAGCTGCTGCCGTTGCAGGACCGCTGGCGCGGGCTGCTGCAACCGTGGACCACCGCCGCCATTTTCTATGCTCTTGAGTTGCTTTGAAACCTAGAATCTCCTCAGGTATCTTAAATATCCGAACTCTCCTGGTACTTCCAATTCCTTAGATTCTTTTCAAATCTCAAATTCCTTTAATATACAACGCAAGGAACTTTACTTTCCTCTTGCACTTCTTTGGGCTCTATAGATTTCTTGGGGTTTCTAGATTATACTCTAAGTTCACTTTATGCGTTAAATTCCAGCAGTTCCTTTGAGATCTTAATTCCCTTGGGTTGTCTCTGAATCTTTTCTACCTTAGATTCACAGGATCCTTTAGACTCCTTGTGGTTTTCTTGACTCTCCTGATTGAGTGATTGAGGTTCCTTAGGATCTCTGTTTTCCCTGCCTTCTAGAACGTGGGATCCTTGGGCTCCTTGGGGCAGGTGTTGCTGCTGCAGGTGTCACCTGCTGTTCCTCCGACTTTTCCTCCCCCAGCTTTTCTGCGTTCTGCTGGCCTCGATTGGCGGGGGTGCGAGTTGGGGTCCGGGCTTTGTGGCATGCGCAGTGGTCGGCGTGCTGCGTATACTGAAATTACAATACAATAATTTTCAGCTAACCAAGGCTTGCTTGCAGTCACCTCCTACACTGCTACACCTCCGAGGTGGGCCAAAAAACTAGACCAGAGCAAGGCGAACGAGACCCCTGAGCAGCCGACATGCACTTGGCCACAGGAGGTGCAAAATAATGGGGCTGACGTGACTTGGTCTAGTTACCCAGGTGGTATTTATAGATTCCGACGCACTTTCACTTAAAAACCTTCTTGTTGTTCAGATGTTGGAATTCCAATGAACCGAGGTTTTCCCTTTGCATTTCCTTTTTGGTAATGAACTAGGAAGTTACACTTTTCAGTTCCCAGACACTCGACGGAGTGTGTTTTTTCGGTCCGGGGCACACACACATTCCGCGGGTGGGAACTCACCAGGCGCTTCGAAAATTCCTTCACTTGTGCGACGGAGGCAAGGTCCGCTACATTGTGCCTCTTTGAATAACAGATGTTGTGCCGCTTCCAAAGTGTTCCGTCCTCCCGAAAGCTCCACACATGCGCTCCTCTGGAAAGGCCCCAAAAGAGCTTTTCGGTTCTTTAGGTGTGGTGCTTACCCGATTTTTTACTTTTTCTGGGAGTCACAGAATTCGCTAGAAACTTTTCCGATTCAGGAAATCTTATGCATACATAGGTATTCCTAAAAATATTTATATTTCCTTAGATTTATGGTTAATATAACCTTAAAAGATAAATTATGCATGCTAGAAACTAAGATCCCTGGCTTTCTAGGTTCCTAGGATTTCAAAGATTAATTTTTAAATTAGAAAAACCGTTTCATAGTTAGCAATAATTCCCGCCGATATTCACGAGGCTTTGTTATCTTTCAGGAGCTTTTTCCACAACTTTTGCGAGAGAACCTCATCGAAAAATTCACTTTAATCAGTCAGTGAGCAACTGCGAAACCGCCAAGATGTCCAGCAAAGTTCCGTACGTGAAGCACAACAACGGCACCCAGATCCAAACCATTGGATTGGGCACCTATACGGTAAGAAGATCACGTCTCCGATATCGATCGGTGCAATATTATGGTTATCAGCTAAAAACCAACTATATCACATTGTAAAATTACTTTTAATTTCAGTCGCTGGGCGGCGATTGCGAGAAGGCTGTGCTCCATGCGATTGATGTGGGCTACCGGCACATTGACACCGCCTACTTCTACGAGAATGAAAACGAGGTGGGTGCGGCGGTTCGCAAGAAGATAGCCGACGGAGTCATCAAGCGGGAGGACATATTCATCACCACCAAGGTCAGGTGACAGGGATAAATAGCTATCAGGCCAATCCTCAAATGGAAATCTATTTCCACAGCTCTGGTGCCACTTCCACGAGCCGGAGAGGGTGGAGTACGCCTGCCGGAAGACCCTGCAGAACTTCGGACTGGAGTACGTGGACCTCTACCTGATGCACTGGCCCTACTCCTACGTCTACAGGGGCGACACCGAGATGATGCCCACCGACGCCAAGGGGGAGGTGGAACTGAAGTGAGTAACCACACCACGTGATGTACTGAAACTTAATGACCAGATCCTCCGATTAAAGCGACATCGACTACTTGGACACCTGGCGTGCCATGGAGAAGCTGGTGGAACTGGGCCTCGTCAAGAGCATCGGCGTGTCCAATTTCAACTCGGAGCAGCTGACTCGCCTGCTGGCCAACTGCAAGATCAAGCCAATCCACAACCAGGTGCGCAATTGTGGTTTTCCCTTTAGGTTTTCCCTTACTTATGAACAGTTTTCCAGATCGAATGTCATCCCGCGTTGAATCAGAAGAAGCTGATTGCCCTGTGCAAGAAGAACGACATTGTGGTGACCGCTTACTGTCCGCTGGGCAGACCCAATCCTGCGGAGAAGACGCCCAATTATATTTACGATGACAAGGTGAAGGCGATCGGAGACAAGTACGGAAAGTCCACCGCCCAAGTGGTGCTCCGATATCTGGTAGGGCTTTCGTTTATTACACTATGACATTCCTTTCACTAATCAAATTTATTGTGTAGATTGAGATTGGAACTGTTCCCCTGCCCAAGTCAGCTAATCCAAAACGCATCGAGGAGAACTTCAAGATCTTTGACTTCAAGCTGGATGCTCAGGATCACGCCATTCTGGATTCATATCACACTGGCGAGCGTCTCATTCCTATGACCCACGCCATCAAGAGCAAGAACTACCCCTTCCATATTGAGTTCTAAGCTGAAAAGAGAAGAAAATATATAATAATTGAACCCCGGATTTGATATTGAATAAACGTTGATATTATAAAAAGCTTTTTAATAAATTTAACTTGTTCAAGTTGATTTTCGATGTTTTGTATAAAGCAACATAACTTGTTTTATGATCGAAATTTAATTTAAAGAAAGATTATCAGTCACTTATACCCCCGGCTGATCTTTAGGTGATTTGGGAGAACTAATAAAAAATGAGAGAGCTTTCGCATTCTCTGCTAGTTTTGAGATTAGAATTCGCATGGAAAATTCCACCAAATCAAGATCACTTAGAGTAATGCAGTTCTACCCACATCTGTGGAAATTTAATTATTGCAAATTAAAATGCAAATTGTAACATTGCAGAGCAGTAAAAAAAACCAACAAGCTCACAGTTGAAAAGTAAATAAACAAAATTAACGATCAAGTTCAGTGAGCTTTCGTTTCGCGCCATCCAACCATCAAACTATCGATAAGCAATATTTGAATGTGCTCCCAATTTTGTTAAACAGGGGCATTTCCACAAAAGTAAACTATTTGCTCGTAAGCTTTTAAAATTGGGTTGTTTATTCTTAGGTTCTAATGACCTATACTTTTTTATACGTTAAACTTATTGATATTGAAAATAAAGAGAGTAGGAGCTGATAAGGAATAGATATGAGTATATTTTCAACTGCGATTCTCCTCTTTTACTCTTAAATAATTTCATAGTTTCCTTGAGGTCTTTTGAAGGTTCCTTGAACCCTTTCGAAAACTTTATAAGAGAGCTGCATTGGACAGCTCGGGCATTCGGCGTTCAACTGTGTGACAGTGAAGATGACCAGCGATTTGAAGTACTTGAGGCACAACGACGGAACCCAGGTCCAGAACATTGGATTGGGCACCTTTGCGGTGAGATTTTAAGTGCCTGATCTCGACTCCGATATTGACTCGGATCGTGGCTTATCAGCTACCCGCCAAATAGGTTTAACGTCATTACAGATCGTTTAACGTTATTCATGACTTGTGATTTCAGTCGGTGGAGGGAGATTGCGAAAAGGCGGTTCTCCATGCGATTGATGTGGGCTACCGGCACATCGACACCGCCTACTTCTACGGAAACGAGGGCGAAGTGGGTGCTGCTGTCCGGAAGAAGATCGACGAGGGAGTCATCAAGCGGGAGGACATATTCATCACCACCAAGGTCAGTTGGCAGGGATTCACAATAGGAGCGATTCAAGGGAAATACCTTTTTATACGACTAGTTGTGGTGCAACTTCCATGAGCCGGAGAGGGTGGAGTACGCCTGCCGGAAGACCTTGGCCAACATTGGTCTGGATTATGTGGACCTCTACCTGATTCACTGGCCATTCTCCTATGCCTATCGAGGCGACAACGAAATGATTCCCACGGACGCCAATGGAGAGGTTGAACTTGTGTGAGTACATAAGGAATCTTTTATTGAAGAATATATTTACAAAGTTCCAAATAGATTTTTACAAGAAAGTGTTAGTCTCATTGCATTTTGTTTATCAACAACTTACAACTGATAGAGAAAAACCTTCTCATCGACTGACGTTAGCTCTTCTGTTATCTTTGAGTCTCAACAAGTAGGAAATAAACAACAAGCCGCATTGAAAGGTGTCCATTATTGTTGATTTATGGATTTTACTTATATACAATATTCTTCCTTCAATCTCCCAAGCTGTAGTATATTCGTTTTAAAATAAGTATTCCAAGGCATTTAATGGAATATATTTCTACTTACAGCGACATTGATTATGTGGACACCTGGCGTGCCATGGAGAAACTAGTCGAACTGGGCCTGACCAAAAGTATTGGCGTTTCCAACTTCAACGCGGATCAGCTAACTCGACTATTGGCCAACTGCAAGATCAAGCCAATCCACAATCAGGTACGACTGTATTTTCTTTTCTCTCGAAATTAAAGTTTTTAATCACCTTCTCTCCAGATTGAAGTTCATCCAGGCTTAAACCAAAAAAATCTGATTGAACTGTGCAAAAAGAATGACATTGTAGTCACCGGTTTCAGTCCGCTGGGCAGACATAATGCCGAGAAAAGGACTCCTGCCTTTATGTACGATGGCAAGGTGCAGGCTATCGGAGATAAATACAATAAGAGCATTGCTCAAGTACTAATTCGATATTTGGTAAGAATTTTGTTTGGATTTATTGCCAGAAAAATCTAAGCAATATTTTTGAATTGCAGATCGAGCTTGGAACTGTTCCGCTGCCAAAGTCATCAAATCCGAAGCGCATCGAAGAGAACTTTAATGTCTTCGACTTTAAGCTGGACGCTAGGGATCATGCTATTTTAGATTCTTATCACGGTGGTGAGCGTGTGGCTCATGCCCGCCAAGCCATCAAGAGCAAGTACTATCCCTTCCAGCATTACAGTGCTTGCTTTTGATTTTTTAATAAATATATAAATTATATGGATATTGTTTCTTATTTATTGTACTGGGAGGACTTAACTTCCTGGGCAACAACACAGCTAATTTTAATCCGAAATGTATATCTTTACCTTTGGTTTGGTATTCTTAAACCATCTGTGATTGCATTTTTTATTACTTTAATCAAATGTTGATATTTTTCGAATACAACTTTAGTAATTTCAATCCATTTTGAAAGTCACAGTGAACCCGCTTTGATTGGTTACGGGCAGCGAACAATCACAGTGATTTTTGTAACGGTTCACGGTATCTAAGTATTTCGGTATATTTCGTGGTGCCACGCGGTATTTTTGGTGGCCCCCAGTGGGGTCACACCGACATTACAAGATAATTACCCTTGTAAATAGCCGGGGTTTTGCAGCAAACTCCGGGTAAACAAGATGCCAGCAGTACGTGGCCACCGCAGTAGCGAAGATTACGTGGACCAACAACTGCAGGAGAAGTAACCGAGCTCCAGAATCGAAGTAACTCCGTCCAATCGGTGGAAATCAGTGCCAGCCGGAAAGTAGAGCAGACTCGCTAGAAGTCGGAAATCAGAAATCGATGCCCCACTGCCACACAATGGTCTATATGCGAATCGTGCTGACAACCTTGGTGACCATTACGTGTCTGCTGGGGGACAACTTCGTGGAGCTGACCCAGCACCCGCTGCTGAAGGCCCTGGCCGACAATGCCACCCATGCGGCAATCGGGGCGCTCACGGGCATCGCCTTCGCCATGCAGTTCTATGAGCGGACCTCGCAGCTCTTCGGCTGGGTATTGATTTTCACCTGCTTCGTTGTGTCATCGTTTATCGACCTGGATCACTTTGTGGAGGCGCGTTCCCTCTACCTGGAGGTGGGTTGAAGTCACTAAATAGAAAATATACTAAGATCTACTTCCTTCACTCTCCTAAAGGATGCCACCAACCTGTCGAAGAGGCCCTTCCTCCACTGCTCCAGCATCATCGTGGTGCTGCTGCTGTTCTACGTGTGCACCGCCTGTCTGAACTACTTCCGGACCAGCCTGATGCTCGGATCGCTGCTCTGTGCCTTCATAACTCACCACACGCGGGACGCCGTGCGGCGGGGCTACTGGCTGTGCCCCCTGGGCCACACGGACCGGGTGCCCCAGCTGGCTTACATCCTGACCACCATCCTGACGCCCCATCTGCTGGGCTGCCTGCACGGCGTGTGCCGCAGTGCCACCGTGCTCAACTTCCTGGGCCAGTACATCAAGCTGAGCGAGGGCCAGTACCGCGGCAGCTCCACTGCCAACTATCGCTACATGCAGGTCTAGAACCGCCTGTGGGCGACACTTGTGATAACACTGCAACATCATCAAATGGTAACTGCAACATGCTTTCTGCTTCAAGCGCTTTACGATTTACGATTAGAGATCAGCTAGAAACCAAATACTTCCACACTACAGGACACAATTTTACACTCTAGTCTCTAGTCGAGGTACCTCTTTTGGGGAACTATGCTTCCCCGCTCCAACTAATTTCCTTGTTAAGTAGGGTAGGTTTTTACTAGCATCTAATACGAGTATAGTACAGATAATATCCGGATTTGTGATATGTAGACCTTAGACAAACTAGAGTAACGAGCATAGCGCACAACGATATACGTAATCGATTTTCAACTTCAACTTTGACTCTGTATTTGTAGGCCGTACGAATTTTAAGCTAATCGAACAATAAAATCAATGTAATTGCCTTATAAAACAAAGGAAGAAGCCTTGTAATCGCGATTAATCGCATTGATTTACCTGGGGCCCACCTTGGTTTCGTTTTCTGTTTATTTGTGGGCCAAATTAGTTGCCATTTACAAATTGGCCCTAATGGCTGGCGGTGCTGCGAAGAAATCCCGTCATAAATCGACTTCTTCGCTGATTTGGCCGAATCGGTCTGGGCTATTTATATCCGAATTTAAATTTAAATGTTCGCCATTATAAATAAATCACATTTCGATCGAAAAAGTTCGTGAGGGATATAAAAAACTTTGGTGTTTTGAAATTTTCCTACGCTTTTCAGGGAAAATCGCAGTGTTTGCGGGTCAATAATTGGGTAATTAAACTTCCACGTGCGCCCAAACAAAGAAAACATTCTAGGGTATTGTAGGTCCCAGAATTTCCCACGCATACCCATTAACAGCGGCACTAACAACAAAAACTACAACAGCGCCGGAATCTGCTGGCAACACCCACGCTACAACATTTGTTTGACATACATTGAAAGATAAGTGTTTAAAATCTAATTCGATGTTATCACTTTTTGCTGGGTTAAATGGTAAATGCATGAGTATAGAATATGTCATATAGTATAATTAATTATTATGGTAATTTATCATTTAATTTATTTTATACTTCATGTACTCTCAACAGGTGTTAAAAAAAGGTAGTGATGAATCAAATTTAAATGATTGATGATGAAATGTTTACAAGATATATATTCTGTTAATATATGATTAGTTAAAATCTAAAAATTGTTCCCTGTGCACACAAATGATGATCGCTTTGGGCTTGGTCGCGTCTCGTTAGAGGAGACATATCTATGTGACTGATCAGAGGCGCAGATCGCTGCAGAGAACCCAGTACAAAAAGTGTGTTCGCGGCGGCCACAGCAGCCGTTCTGAAATCGGAGTCAAGAGGTCGCGTGTCCAAGTGCCTTAAAGCCTTTCCATCTCGCGCGAGTTTTCCGAGTTAGCCAAGATTGCGGACCAAGGGGACATCAGTGGGAACCCGCTCGGCGTAAGTGCGCTGCAACTGTAGATTTGGCTTAGTGATTGGCTTTCAATTTTCAATTGGCCCGTTGGAGTTCCGCTTTTTTGTTCGCCCCTCGACCTTGGGCACTTTTCACGCTTCGTTTGGCAGCCGGCCGTGTGTTTGTCTATCGATGATATCACGGCCGGGTCATTAAGCCCACAGCCAAGTGCGACATTTCTGTTTGCCTTCCGCCGAACTTAACTAACTTAAGTTGCTAAACGCCGTTCCCAGAGTCATTAACACCCCGTTAAAATCCAGCGTAAATCACGGGACTCGCCTTCGGGCACCAGAAAGTTTCATAATATTTATCTGGCACGATCATAACATGCATACTCGTACACACAATGTGCAAACATGTATATTATATGTATATGGTTTAAAAATAAACATTGTAAATATTTACATTGGAAATCTATAAAGAGCAAGGAGCCGATTTCTCCCATAATTCTCTCGCACGGCGTTCACACGGTCTTCGGTCAAACGGTTCTTATACTATTTGTTTTAGAAAATAATAATAATCATGATCAATAAATAAATTACTCATAAAAGTTCTGTGTCTGGCTGCTGCTTTCATGTTTATGAGCTGATAATGAGCTCGTAAACAGTCCAATTCCGGTTGCCTCTGCCTAGAAGCCATCCAAACTGATCTGATCTTGATCAACTGGGGGATCTCTGAATGCTCTGCAGAGAAGCAGGTTCCTTGACATCTAGATTTAAAGTCATTCACTGATAATAGCAATGACCGATGACAAGAAAAAGCTCTCAAGCAGTTGTGCAATTTTTAAAAATACAAAAAAAAAGAGTAGAAAGTGAGTTTACAGTACCAGTTCTATAAGCTAAACCACCTACATATTATATATAATGCATGGACTTAAATAAAAGTATTACATTGTTACAAAAAAGAAAAAACGAAATGTTGATGCTTAGCATTTTTCATTTCTGCTCAATTTATACACAATTTATAAAAAGAGGGACTGGGAATGAACTTTTTGACTGATGTTTGAGCAGCTGAGCAACTTGAATAAAATAAAATACGTTCCCGTTGTACAGTGTTGACTTAACTCCACAGAAATAAAGCTTCACCTTTTTGCGACCCCACGGCGTATGAGCAATGTGTCATTTTTGGACGCCTCACCTGAACACTCTGAACGGTCCACGACAGCTGCCTAATTAAAATTATCGCAGATTCCGTTGCTCCGCCGCCGTGTGCCAACTTTTTTGAGTGAGGCCCACGGGGCGGATTGTCGATCGGTAAAAATAGCTCATACGCAGAGTGGCACACGAACGCACTTGCAACTGCACAGGCACTTCTTTCTGTCATCTCCTGTGCGACCGGGTTGAATGACTCGAGTCCGTGCGTCCGACTAAATATAACCCTTGCAGTTTGCCTTCGCAGTTTATATAACACTCTTTCGAGTGCCGATCTCAGCTATAAAAGGGCTTTGAAAGGTGGCATGTACTTGGCTCTAGACTTTGAATACCCAGCGCCAAATGCAACTCATTGTGGCGCATTGATAAACAAATATGGGGAAACGTGTTTGCCCGATTCTTTTTTTACTTGGCTCTGATGGCACAGATCTTTCTTTAGAAACATATGCACAAGCAGCCACAATTCGCCTCGTCACAAGATCTAAATTTTATGCCGGCTGTTGTCGTTGACAAAGAGCAAACAAGCAGCGAAATCGGTGAAAATAAATCACAAAAAGAAATTAACAAAATGGCAATCCCAGAATAAGGCGAGATTTCAAAATTTTCGGTTCAAAAACAACTGGCGAGAGAGCATTCCGCTCACTGTCTCGCTCTCGCCGACTTGTTTTCGGTTTTCGCTTTTTTTTGGCAGCATTTCGAGCGCGTTGGAGCTCCGTAAAATGCTCAATATTGTTTGGGATTCCGAGGCGAGACGATCGTCGAAAAAGTCGCGCGCGCTGCTAAAATAAACTCAGGCGGATCACAAAGAAATTTATTATTAGGCAAACAAATAAAGGAACACAACATTAATAATCCCCTAAAAAACTTTAGATTTATATGCACAGAAGAAGAGAAATAAAAAACAAAGTAAACACACATTTTATTTGTGAATAATTATACGGCGAGCAGTGTCAAGAGTGCCAACACATTTAATACACATTTAAGTGCCAGTAAATAAAAACGAAACTAGGCCAGCACAGAAGGCAGAAAGTTGATTTAGAAGAAAATATTGCTCATACGCCACCGGCACCTCATTCACACCCCTCTCAGTTATCAGACTTTGAATGAGCCCAATGAGCGGACTGCGGCAACAGCTGAAGGTGAGTACCGCCCCGCCTTATCGATATTTGAACCCTAATCCCTGACGATCTTAAGTCTTTAATCTGAACTCAAACCGGCTCGCACTTGCATAAATATTTACCTAATCGCTTTTCAAAGGTGGCAGCAACTTTCGTTCTCCGACTCGCAGGCACTAAAGTTGCCGTTGCCTTCTTTGTATACACAATTTGTTTTCATTTCTTTTATGATGAGCAAATATTAAATCCCTCTCTCTTACGACCAGCTATAAATAATTTTAATAACAATATTGGTACTACTCTGTCAGGGTCGCCAAGGAATATGTAAATTAGCAGATCGTATTTGTTAATTTCAACATCAGTCGTCAACTATTTAGGGTAACGAAATTACACAGCGATCAATATAAATGTTTATGTTGGTTTATTTTCGGAGCAGTGCAAATTTAAATACGTTTTACGGCTTTAATGTTTGTAATTACTTTAAACAGCTAATGTAGTCGGTAAATACGGATTAATTACGACCCAATATAAAAGCTAATTGGTTTTAAATAACATTGCTTTTGGGCAACAATTTCAATGTTGCAAACATTCAGCTTGCGATTTGCAAAATTTAACATTTTTATGGAAGTCTACAAGTGAGTAGTATCCAGACCTAAATACAAAACGTACGTCGAGACTCTCATAAAACCGTTCCCCGACATTGCATTCTATTTTTCTGAAGTCATAAAACGCGTTGCTGTCGCAGCCCATAACATTGTAACCAAAACACATCATTAAAAGCGCAGACGAGCACCCATAAAAGGCATATGGATATAGATATGGATATATAGTAGACGTGTGCATGTTTCTGGAAATTAGCCTTTCGCGGGAGGGCATCATAATGGTTTCTTAATGTGCCGTCCAAGATTTTTGGCATACAAAATGCGCTTCAGTGCTTTCCAAGGCATTAAAAACGACGATTGTTTATCGGCATAGACGTGTATATACTTGGCGAATATAAACATTAGCGATTATTAACTTTTTCCATACCTTTGATGTGTATATTTAAGTTTCGTCTACCTAGAGCACACCGTTCAAGATTTAATTTGAGGTCCAAAGTTTGATACTTGTTTATCAGATTTTACCCATTGACGACACAGCAACATTTTGTCTGGATTTATACAAACAAGCCACAGATTTATGATTTTGGCAGAGCTCTGAGGCACATAAAAATGAGGTGAATAAGTGAAAAAGTGTCATAGAAAAATGCCATCAAAAGAGCATAAAAGCGCGTTCGCTACAAATTTATTAATTTGTTTACACGATGTGCGTCTTGGCACGTGAGCAACGCCACCATCTGCATAAATGTAATTTGATTAAAGCAGATAAACCTAAGGTAACTAACCTGGGCCAAGGTTTTACACATTTGCCGATTGGGCTCAAACGTCTGACGCATTTTAATTACAAACAAAGTGGTGCGTAGACTTTAAAGTTCGATTACAAACCACGTAAAAAAAGAGTATTTCAGAACTTATAAATTACAAAACAAAAACAAATAAGGCTGCGCATAAACTTTTTTGCAATATACAAATAGCATTAAAACGCAATTACTGAAATTTGTTTACAGAAAATTCAATTAAAAACCCTAAAAGGTTACATCGACAACACAAAAACAAAAAACCCTCTTTTCAAATTAAAAAATGTATCTAGGCCTCTTGCACAGGGTTTAAATGAACTTTGAAGAAGCATTGTTCTGGGAAAATTAAAATATTCGTTCTTTTCAGATACTTACGTAAATACTTTCACCAGTTTTGCTCGTTTATTTTGTAATTAATCAAAAATAGTTTGAATGCCTGCCCCTCTCTACGTAATTGAATTGGGAATAAATAAAAATCACGAAATCTTTTCTAGCCCCCTGCCAAGTTTCTTATATTTGGCCTATCGAGGGGTTGATGAATTCATATTAGTCTTAAAGAGCCAACTAATTGCATTTGCACTTCTTTTCGCTCAGTTGAGATGTTCGGAATTCCTCGAGTGAAAATAGATCGAACAACAACAAACATGGGCGGGTGTTAAAATAGCCAAAGAACAACGTAATAAACAAGAATGTCAAAAATAAAAAAGACTTATAGACGAAATGTAAAAATATATTCTTAACTCACCCCCAAATACTTTTAGATTTCCCCTGCAGCTCAAGAGTATGCTACATTTTTTTCATAGCAAGCTAATATATTAAATTTTATTTCCGACTTTATTTAATTTTGTTAACCCTTTTTCGGTTGTTTGCTTTTTTACAGATGCTGGGAACAGCTTTGCTGGGCAAACGGGCCACCAAGGTAAACACGAAATTATTTCGGATCGGTTTATTTTGACTGTTCGTTATTTATTTGATTTTCACTTTCGTTTCGTTTTTTGCCTTTTCATTTCACAGTCTGTCAAAAAGAAACCATTTACAGAGGTGGAAATCAAAGGTACGTAACCAAAACCACACCCCAAATTATCAGATAAATTGTTTATTTACAAACAAGACGAACAGTGACCTCTGTTCTTCTGGGAAGAAATCAACAAAATATGGGTTAATATACGCAGACTTGGCGGTGCTATCTCCTATTTGACTGTTCATAATTACTGCAAATTTATGTGGAAAATAAACAACCAGCTCGGCCATTTCGTGGCCAGCTCACACTGCGTATACGGAATCGGTTTTTGCACCATCATGGTGTAAAAATATTTTCGTTGTTCGGGGAAAAACATCTTTTTTATCTCACCTAGGATCAACCTGTTGTTTGAATGCTTAGAATGGCTATTATACTTGATCTATAGATGGCAGCTTGATTTTTCAACAAGGAAACAACTTCAAAATGGAAGAGAAATTACACGTTAGTGATTGCTATTTCTGTTCGAGTAAATTTAGACATGTGAAATTGCTGACCGCCTTTTGCATGTAGGCTGTCTTTAATTAATGTGCCTGCCACTAATTTCAGCAGGTGCACCGGGACTCAAAGATAGATGGGTTCTCTTCGAGAGTTATTTTTATATCTTGAAAATTGTTCGGGCAAGCACAGCGGCTTTAATCTAATCAAGATAGCCATAATCGAGTTGAAATTTAATTAACGCTCCTCTTTCCTTTTCCCTCCGATAGTAGAAAGAGTGGAAACAAAGTACTGGGGGTAAGAAGGCGGCAGATAGCTGACACCCCCGCATCACATGCCCAATTAACGGGCTTATAAAGCTTCCAATAAAAAAAGAGCAAAATAAAAGTGGAGCGGAAAAAATACCTGTCGTTTTTAACAGAAATTTAATTTGGCCTCTGGGATTTACCGCAAAGTGTTTACCATCGAATGGCGAATCAGATAAGATGCTGATCCCACACCACTCATGTGACACATTTCGCCGGCTGACAAGCCAAACAAGTCATATTTAAATCGGCGCCAGGCACTTTCATTTGACATTGCCTTCAGCTGTTGATCTCCAGCAAATATTTGCCCTTGGAGTGGAAAAAGCAGCGGGAAAGCAACCATAAACCCAATGACTCATTTATGGGGTTGGGAGGGTCTTATTGTTGCCAAATTACGGTTAAGATAAAGCCATAATTATTTATTAATTGTCCTGGAGTCATAAAAGTTGTTGTGGGAGTATGAAGAGGAATATTAAAAGTTTACACATATAAATAATAATATTTTCCCCAGTGTATTTCGCGTGTAACTGAACACATACTTAATAAGTAAACAGCTATGAAAGTGCCATTTTTGAAATTACAGAACTACCAGTATTTCCCCGATATCGCACGGCAATCAAGACGATTCCTACACAGGTACTTTTTAGGCTAAGGCCCCACTCAAAGTGTCCGATTGTCTCGCTCCGGCAATCAGACAACTGAAATCAAGATAAAGCCCATGGGAAGAACGGCGATGAGAGAGTGAACACCATTACGACATATAGACTAGCACTTAATGAAATCAGAAAGCCCATCCCATCCCCACACGAGTGTAGTATACACCCACCCACCGACCAAAATCGGGCTCTGCCATCCGGCTGATAACTCTGTTAGTTATCTGCGGGGAGCGGCGGGTGCTATCACCCAAATGAAATATAATATAGTACAATATAGCAAAAGTCGGCTGGGCTCTGGGTTCTGGCCCTGGTTAGTTCGCGTTCAGTCATTATCTTGGGAGTTTTCGTAGATAAATCGCGCGGTAACGCTGGCATTCCTGCAGCATTATTATTCGCGCCTTCGCAGAGTATCGCCAGCTTATGTAGCGCTCGGAAGTGCCCCTCGAGTGTCTCTCCCCAGCCGTGATTGATTGATTGATTGGCCAACTGATTAACCCACCAACTAACCAACTGATCGATTGGTCGATTGATAGCGTCGCGCTCGTGCCCGCCAAACATTCAAAACGAACCAGTTCTACCTGGCAAATTAGCGTCTTTCCGCTCTGGCAATATGAGCAAAGATGATAAGTGTGAGTATAAGTTAATACCGCGACTTGGCCAGAAGCGAACTTTAGTCAACCGCTATCGTTATCGGTTGTGCGAGTATCCGCGGAAGGTGGAATATTAACTAATTTGCAAACAGCAATCAACATTCAAAGAGACACGGCGTTGTCAATTTGTCGCCACACTCGTAAAACTAATTAAACGATTGTCACCAGACACGTAGGGCCACAAACACGGGGAGAAAAAAGCACTCAAAACTAACGTGTTCTAAATAAATATATAATATTGAATGTTTTATTGAATAAATTTTATTCCAAAATAAATAGTTTTCTTGCTAAAAGTAAACGTTATTGCCAAGTTTACAGATGTAAGATTAGTCTGCAACATAAACTACTGTTCCAAGTAATCAATTCATTCCCATAAATATTTATTTCCCCAGTGTAGCCTCGTGGCCCTTTGTATCTTCCTGTTATCACTCGAAAAAATTATCTCACTGCGTGCTGGTGTATTTGGCAAGTGGGCGGTTGGCAGTTAATTTGTTGCCACTTTGCCGCTGATGAAACCTGACAGTCAAAGGCAGCCGTAATATTTCTGCGAGTTTTTATTTATTTGTTCTTTTTTTTGGGACACGCCTGCATTTTGATTTATGGTTACGCAACGTTGGCAGTTTTTTAGGCTTCGTCCACAGAATTCTCGGCTTGGTACTCGACTTGAGTTATGAGTTGCAAGACAATTAGCCAAAAAGAAAAGACCCCAAACAGAAGTGAAAAATGAGAGCGTTGGTTGACTGTGAAATTTCAATTGTTTCTTTACAAGTGATTTATATATGACGTTCTGTTCAAGAATTTGTTAAGCAACATTAAAATTATTTGCTTCAAAGTATTTACGACCAAGTGTGCATTTATTAAAAAGTGAACCTGTTGGGTAAATTTAATTCAGTGGCTGTCTTAAAGGGTTTTGCCATAAAATGTATTTATCTCATCCCTTAAGCTCTGAAATGAAAAACAATTGTTGACCAATTTTCACATTTATGTACTGCAAAATGCGAAACGAGTGTTAAACAAATGTATATCGATGAATGCAAAGTGCTAATTTGGTCACGTAAATGGATTCAATAACAAAGCGAGATAAAAATTTGTTTTTCACAGTCTCCTGCTGTGCGTGTCTGAGTCCTTGACCCCCAGCCCTGAACCACCCCTTTTGCAGCCCCATTTCCACCCCACATTTGGCCCCCTCGTTTAGGGGGCACGTTTTGCGTATGAAAAATTTTGACGATACCAAAGGCCCTCGGATTGATTTTTGCATATTAATGCAGGACGTTGAATCGGAGCACAGCTGCAATCACTTTCGGTTGGGAGGGAAACTCTATATAGAACTGATGACTGGCCTTGGGTATTTTGACGGCCCATAAAAAGGAAAAGCCGCAGATAAAAGGCATCGACTGCAAACGCATCTATAACGGCCATCGCCTCGTTAAATCGCAAATTTATGATGCATTTTAACTGCATTGAAAATATTAAAAAAGTGATATTAATATAGAAGTCAACTTAGACAAAGTCTTTAAAGAGTTTTACCTAAGTGAATGAAATTCAGACACTCAAGTTTAATTGCGTGGCATTCTTTTCCAACGGCCAATAAAATTAACTGCCTTGTTTCGAGTATGTGATTAGGCATTAGAATCAGGCGTATTAACCGATTTCACCCCACAGCTCGTGGGTGGCGCCCTCTGGCGTCGGCACGTGACTTCGTTTGCGTACATCCCACGATTTTCGTAGGATGTTCGTGATGTTTTTGGACCCGCCTAGTTAGTTACCCCGCGCCTAACACAATTTACGCCTTTTGGAAAAGTTTCTTGCGGCGCAGTTTCCTTTTTATGTATCAGATCGTTTGCCAGTTAAAGGCCAAAGTCCTTTAATAAAGCTGCACATATTGTGAACTCTATTCGTCCATCTGTACCGAAGTTAACTGATTGGTGTTGTTGGCTTCTAGCTTGCATTTCACTCTGTTGGCTGCCCAAAGTTTTCGCAATTAATTTTCATTAAAAAGTTGTTTGCATTGGCGAAAGTTGAACGAACTGGGCAATTGAGAGGAAAAGCGTGGGTACTACAACAAAAAAGGGGAAAAAGTTGAATATTTGGACAGGGCTTCGTTAAAGAATTGCAACTCATTTGTCGGAAGAAAAAGATGAAACTTAGTTTCAAGTTCTTTCATCTCATATTTGTTTGTTAGGGAGAAATGTCTTGGTGTTAAAGTTGAAGAAAATCTAAAGAATTTCCGATTGTCCGGATGCCGAGAACTACTTGATTATAAATATTTTAATGCCTACTTTTAGTCACTCATATCAATAATTTCAGATCTCTAGAGATTTCGTTGGGATTACAAGCCTTTCATCAAACTGTGAATTTTAATTGGCTTCCCAAATATAAAATCTGCTAATTAAAATAGAATCGAATTCTTATTATCGCGAAAATCGGAATAAATTTGCATATATGTTTGAGGTTCTTGCAACACGTAAGTGGACAATGCGATTTAATTGAGAATTACATAAAAATGCAGCGATACCGTTGCATAAAACCTTACGTATAACGGTAGCCCTCTCTCTCTCTCTCTCTGTCTACCTCTTTCGTTTTCACTCATTGGCATATTCCCACAAATGCCGTTGCCTGCGATAACAACAACAACTCGTTTCCATCATTTTGTTTTGTTCCCCGCATTCGCTGAGCAAAACAAAAACGGGGCTTCCTCGTAGTGAGTGCAAGCGAGAGGGCGCGTTAAAAAGAGAGACTTAGTCGGAATCCCCCAGTTCCAGCCGACGGGAGTGAGAGTTAAAAAGAGAACACTTTGCACATTGCCCCTCCAAGAACACTAATACATTCGCCAAAATTGCATGCTGCACAGAATTCTTTTTGTTTTTGTCAATCTTACTGCACATGTTCTTGTTGTTATTGTTTTAGTTGGGGCAAGGTTACTGGAAGTGTTCTTATAAGATTTTATTTTGAAGTGTTTTCATACTGGGCGTATGCGTAATATTGGG